ACTAATCGTTGCCATATTTCTTACTTAATCACTTCTCACTCTTTTTTCAATGTTTCGAATAATTTGTCGATATTTTTTATTTTATGATGCTGTACCTTTTATCAGGTGAGGTAATTGATATGGCTTAAATCTGGACTGCAAGAAAGACAGTCAAAAACAGTCACCAAATTGTCTCAAAACCATTGCTTAGTGCGTCGAGCTGGATATTTCGGATAGTTATGTTTCTGGTACGTGTTTCGGGTATCGATATGTACTTAAAATGGTCCTTTCCTCATTAAAGGATTATACTCGTTTTGTTGCCTCCATGTTTCAGTATTTGAATAGTGTACCTAGCGTTCCGCTTTCTTTACGTTTTTAGCGCCCAACATTACTTTCACATCTAAAAAGATTCTACTTATTTATGTTTCGTCTGAAAACAATAGTTGTCCAGCGGCGGTATTTTAAGTGAACTCCTTTCGATTCGAAAATAGTGACTTATTCTTGGTATTCACCTCAGACAGTCCCGCTTCTCGCAATCGCCTTCTATGTCACTCCGTTAGTGGAGGAGGGCCTGGCTACACTTGGGGTCCCCAATTGGCGCCAAACAGCGAAAAGGAAGAACGACTTAAGCGCTGTTATAAACTCGACTATAACCGCGTAAGCGGTGTCTACGCCACTAAAGAAGAAGAAGATGTCGTTGTCAATTAGTTGCAACTGCAATACCAGAGATTATCCGGTATGGTTCACTATGCCAAATAGCAAATTTCACAATGTTGATGTCGGACTATGAAACATTCTACCTATAAGAATCCGTACCATAAAGTAATCAGAAAGATATTACAACAAAGCATAAAATAATGTGGTTTAAATAGAGAATGGCTCAAGATTTTTCGTTGTAATAGTACCATAATTTTAATATTATTGGAAGTTAATGGTCCGATTGAACTTTCAGAGATGTCCTGGACAATTTTCCAGTTAAATATATTCTTTGTATAGTATGAAACTCTTTTTTACCGAGTTTTTAGTAACACTATTACTAATTACTGKACACTTTGAATGTATTAGATCATGAAATGATCTTTTTCCCAAACAAAACTTTTTCACAAAATTATGGTCTCACAGTCACAGACAATTTATAACTGAGACTTTAGTATGAATTTTAGAATTGTCTCTGCATTTTATTTAAAATATGTTTTCAGATAACAAAGATAAAAATAATATGCAGTTTACTGTCAACAAGACAAAATGTGTTTTGTGTTTATATTTTTCAAGAGAGCACTGTGCCGATATGAATAAACACAAAGACACGTTGTGTAATTAGAGAACTTGTTTCAAGTCAAACATAAAAACAGGGCATTAAGTAACAAGCTATTCAATAATACTAAAGCGTACGATAGGGCTTATTCAATCGCAGTCGAAAATTAGATGGTTAAATAGTACGAACCTAAAAGAGGACGCATGTATAACATAATATCGTATGAAGCATGGTGTCCAAACAATCGCAGCTAGTATATTTGAATGCGCTGAGTTCAATTTTCGATGACTCGTTCGAGCATTTCGAGTTGCAACTGGCGAATGACACCCATGATGTTTTTCTGCCAGGTCTGCTCACCGAAGTGTTCTCTCAATAAATCCATTGATTCATGCGATGTGTGAGAAGTGGCTCTGTCTTCTTGAAACTAAATGTCGCCGAGATCACGTGCTTCGATTTCAAGCATAGTCGGTTWTCATGGTGCTATAGCGTTCGCCATTGACGGTTGCGTTCTCACCGCCATCATTTTTGAAGAAATATGGACCGATGGTTCACCAGTCCACAAATCACACGAAACCGTTTTTTTTTTTTTTTGGATGAAATGTCAGCTCTTGAATCTCTTCAGGTTGCTCTTAGTACCAAATGCGACAACTTTTACATACCAATTGAGCCAGAAATGGGGCTCATCGGTGAACTAAATTTGGGATATTCTTGGAACTCTTCAAGAGCCCAAAGAACGAAGCGATATCGTTTGAGAATGTCGAACTGCTTCAGTTATTCTAAAAGCTTTATTTTATACGCTTTCAATTTTAGATTTCGACGTAAAATGCGAAATGTCGTGCTATGCGTTAGTCCAAGTTGCTGCGAACGCCGCCGAATCGACACTCCACGGTCTTCGTGTACATTCTCAGCTACGGCTGCTATATTTTCTTTACTGCTTGCTGGACTTGGTCTACTCGGTCGAATATTACCCAATAATGAATAATGATTTCAAGATGGATGATGGTGTTGCGAATAGTACGCTAAATAGATTCAATCATATTAAAAAGGAAAAGAGTTTGAAGAAAAATGCAAAGATCACACATCGAACACCTTTCATATAGGTTTCTACTGTAAATAAAGGTTTTTCACTGGTGGGTAGTCTTTGGAGACATTATTAACAGAAAAAATTTTAGTGCAGGGCTTCTTTTTTCTTAGGTCCTTATCATTATGTCACAGCATAAGATTGCAGTGTGGTACACTTTGGGATGCCAGTATACGTTATCGGCACTGATGACAGATACCAACAGCAAGGTCCTTTCACGACAACTGAAAGTGGGTGAAGGATGACAAAGGAATGGTGCAAAGTGGTAGCTGTTGGCCTGATCTCATGAGAAACTTAMATTTTTTAAGGTCTCTTGAGAAACTTAGAACTATTAAGGTTATACAGAGTTTGAGCTTGTGCGGTGGCTGAAATTATAGATGAACTWTTGAACTGTTGTTGAAGAAATACCTTAGAAACATGGACACATATAAACTGTGATTTTGTATAGGCTAAAGATACTAAATGATACTCATCTGGTCAGATTTATATTTCTATCGCAGAAAGTACAGCCATTGATGGAATTGAATTCGATCCCATTTCATGTACCTAGTGCAAAATTCTTGAATCTTATAATTTYTTCAAGCAAGGAATTCTTATTTTATCACTCAGTATTAATTGATAATAATCAACTCAATAGTGAGCAATTTATTAAACCTCATCCGAACTCGGTGATCACTTAGAAATATATACATATAATATATGTATAATGTAAACACATAAACGTCAGAGAAGATTGATAACATGCTATTTTGTTTATTAGGTTTTTTTTTGTTTTCGCAGGAATCTATATTTATTGTATTTATAATCCAGTCATAGGTGGTTAAGGTGCACAAATTATAAAACGAAAAGTAGTTTAATCTCAGTTTGATAACCACTATTTTGCTTCACCTTCGCAAACMAACAGAAACAGTCACTTCTGAAAAGTTTTCTTAGGTTCATAATGAATAGTATATAAAAATTAAATAAATATTAATATATAATATGTAGTTTCGGTTTATTTTATTATTTACTTCAACTCACCTCAGTCTTTTGCTGACTGATGCCCTAATTGATACTATTTACAGGGTCATTAAAAAATATGCGTATTCATTTATGAAAAGAAAGCAAAACATTCCTCTTAGGATGTTCTCTTCGATAAATGCGACACAACTCTCTCTCTCTYAAGAACTGCATCAAGTACTTTGGAGTAGTCTTGGACAGCAAGTTGCTGTGGAAGCCGTACGGATATCTAGCCACCAGAAGCCAATTGATAGGGTACAGAATCTCGCTTGGCTGTGCATAACGGGAGCTTTAAGAACAACTCCAACGGCGGTTCTTGAACTAAACTTTTATACGAATGGTTCAAAAAATATTGGCAAGTTGACAGGCCTTGGACGAATAAAAATCTAGTTCTGCCCCGATTTTGATGGATAGAAGGATTGTTATTGTTTTATTATTGAGTATGACTTTATAAAGGATAGGGTAGGACAGTACTTTCGATGTGAATTGAGAGTAAGAAACAATATCAAGAACGCACATTTGACATCAGTTATATTGGACATACCTAGCTGAGAGCAAGCGAAAAATTGTAAGAAATACGGTAAAATGATGTATAGGTATAGCGGGAGTTTCGCCATGAACATTTACATTGAGCTCGTAYATGATCCGAAGAATGCTGCCGCACACTTTACTTTTATCTCCACAAATAAGTTGAATCTGGGGATCGGGCTGGACGGTCAATGCCATTTTTTTTTTTGCCGTCAGATTTTGAAAAACGTTTGCAACAGTAAAAATTTTTTTATAATCAAAGTCTTTTCCTAACATTTGTGGTCAGATATTATGAGCCAATAATCTATCTATGAGTTTCCATCGACTGATACTTTTTTTGAAAAAAATATGGCGGTTTTGGTCATTCGTCCATGTAATCGCGCTTCATGGATCTGAAAGGGATTTTGTTTTTTTGCCCGAAACGGCAATTTTGATTATGAATATCACCAAAAAGTGTGGAATTCCTTCGAGATCTGGTTATGAAAAGATGCCTATCTCTTACACAGCGCAATAAAAAATGATGTACCCTATAAACTAACTCAAATGGGGTTACCAAGTCAACATTACATCAGATTGAATTATGCCGCGAACCTTGCAAATAGTTCGCTGGAATCGATAATTAATAAACAAATGTAAATATACGAGTCTATATGTATGTTTACCCATATGTATAGTCTACATATATTTTTTTCCATAGYGCCTAGGTGCAACATATGGCCTTTCAATATAAATAAGCTTAAATATAATATATAGCGCCTCAACAAAATCTCTAATCAGTTCAGCGGTTAAATAAATGAAAAATTATAGATGATCTACAAAGGTAATTAATACTAAAATGACAAATCTAGTTATCAACCTGCAAYGGTATAAATAGGGGGCTACATGATGGAATTCATTAGTTCACTAAGTAAAGTTGTCAAACGAGAAAATCAGAATGAAGTACTTTTTGTGTATTGTGATCCTTGCAGTGATTRCTTTGGTGAGTATATTCACAAAACAACTGCTTCAAGTATCCTTAAGGAATCATAAATTGTTTTCCATTTTAGGTACAAGCCGATGACTGGAGTCCAAAGACCGTCGACGATATTAAAAATATTCGCGAGGAATGTATGAAACAAGTGCCATCTAGCGATGAAGAATTCCAAAAGAGAAAAGAAAATAACTATCCCGACGTAGAGTCTGTACGGAAATATGTGCTTTGCAATAGCAAAGCTTGGGGCCTCTACAAAGAGGGTAAGGGTTTTAATGCCGACCGTATTGCCGCGCAGTTCAAAGACGAAATGCCGGAAGACGAAATCAAAGCCATTATGCAGGATTGTGATGAAAAGACCAAAGAGGAGACCGATGATGAGAGATGCTACCATATTTTGAAGTGTGCTTGCTCAACCAAACTCGGTGATCATATTAAAGATCTCATAAAGCGATCAGAGTAAGCACTGGAGGGTACTGTTTAAACTGTAGATTTTCACTATTATAGTTTGTGATGAATAAATTAATAAAACAATTTTGGTAAGTGAGCACTGAAACTTTATGATAAGTTTTTATTATTGTTTAGGTCTTTTCGAACTTCCGCTCGTTATCGCCAGGGAATACGGTATTTCATTTGAGTAAAGAGGGTATTCTCGTAGTATAATCAGTTAAAATCCACTAAGATGCTGTAAATCAACATTACAGTCTCATGAATTACACTGAACGGACTGGCTAACTGAAAATCCTTTTTTCGTGCTTCCAATTAAACCATGGCTAAGGACAGAATATAAGGACAGAATTGAATCGTTCCCACGACAGTCGGGTCTACGAAAACCGGAACGGACCCGGATTTTTATCCGGCCAAGGACTGTCAACTCGGCAGAATCCTGCCGTTACAACAAACAACAGAATTATTGAAAAAATTGCAGAATTTTTTGATTAGACTATTTTATGACAGTATGGTACATATTTCAGTGGCATAAAACATTCAGTGAAGTTATCGAAAATTTGGATCGTGCTAGTCGTCTACAAACCTTGGTTAATGACGATAATATGGAAAAAGTTAGCAAACATTGCTCGAAAATCAAAGGTGTTGGCATCAGAGAGAGAGGATCACTATTTCTCCTGTGGATCAACTCAACACATTGTGGTTAATATTTAAGGTTTAAAGTGTGGCAATGCTAAATTCATACCAGTAACCCTGAATCTTTTGTAAAAACGACGCCGTATAGAAGTCGAAAGAGATAAGCCTGACAATGTAGCTGAGGACCTTGCAATCATCAAACGCAACATTATTGGTGACGCGACGTGGGTTTCTGAGTAAAGCGTCAAAACTGTCCGACGAATATCGCTCTAAAAACGAGCCAAAACCGCGAAAACCACATGGAATATTATGAATCGGCTACATGAAGAAACTCGTCGTAAAGGAAAACGAGATTAATTGTTAACTGATAAAAAAATTTGAAATCTTTGCCTGTAGTATCGCTTCYAATATTGGATCGTTTTGAGGCAATATAAGCATACCGGTGGTTAATCCAATTTCTCCTGCCCTTAAMGAATAATTCTAACGGCTTCGATGGCTTCAATGGCTTCAATGGACTCATTGCGCATTCCCCGAAGCGGATTTTATAGTCYCGAAAATAAAACACAAGTCACAAGAAGTCAAATCATACAAATTAGTATCATCATAAAATTTAACATGCTGTTAAATAGGTGCCGATAGATGTCGTGAACAAAGTTTCCATAAATTAGTTGCACCTAGTGTTCATTTCTTTACCAATGACGATAGTTTCCAGAACAAAAACTTTGGAATGTCGGCCTTGGTTAGGTAGCTGTTCACAAAAAAGGCGATGTGTGCTGTGGCGTTGTCTTGGTGCAAATTCCAATTGGCTGCGATGTCTTGTCGGACCCGATTGACCCTTCGTTTGAGTTTCTTGCACACTTCCACCTAAAACTTGGCGTTTACGATTTGTCCAGCAGGAACAAATTCATTGCCTTTGATGTCGAGAAAGACAATGAGCATCGTTTTCACTTTGCATTTGCTCATTCTTCCGGCGGTCTTCATCAGCTACCTCTTCCTGGCTTCCCAAAAASACCTGGTGCCAGCGAAACACACCTCTTCTTGCTAAAGCAACATCTGGGTATGCCTGCTTGATCATATCAAACGTCTCGTCTCGTAGACAACTGACCAGTCGTTCATTCGTTAGCRAGGAACGCTCCGTACCGAATCCAGTTGGTTCGCGCACGCTCCGAAGTACAGTCGCGGCGGAAGACAATSAGTCTGTAAGTTGCAAAAATTTTCTATAAGTTGAAGAAAAAGAAACAATAACAAACTTAACCAAATTAACAGATGAACTCAAAAAAATTAAAGCCTTTTCAGGATAACGTGTAATAAGTTTTATAAAAGGTAAAGAGTGATACTTACTATTAAAAAACTTTCTAATCAACATTCTTTAACCGGTATTATTCCAACAATATTATTCCCCAGCGAGCTGCCTAAGCTACTTAAGGGTAAATATTTGTAATATATACATACATATGTATAATATTTATGTAATTTTTATGCAATATGTGGTACAATATCACTAACGACTTAATGCCAGTTCAGAGCGATGAAAATGCAAACTTACGAGTATGAAGGGGAAATGCAAATACGTGCGAGTCACCTGTCACTCGTCAAGCTGATAATTAATTTATCGTTAATGTCTAAATAAATGCTAAGCAATTGTTTGTTGATGTTGTATCAGTTGTTGGTGCATTGGTCAAACAAATTGCCAATTACGAACCCAGAATAATTTGTGCGGATCGGTGAAGCGTGTAAATGTGCGTGTTCGATTCGTCGCTACACGGCATGCTTCATTAGAATACCAGAGACATAGCAGAGGATCTCAATAGCTCTTGAGGATATACATACTTCTGATATTCGTAAAGAAACTCTGGAAGCATTTTGTTAGTCTATGGCATGTAGTATTGGTAAATAAAGATAAATTCAGTTAAATACTAAATATAATGATTTTCGTTTTTCTAAGAAGTTTTATTCCAAAACAGGTCTATATAAGATAAATTTAACACTAAATTAACACAACCACAACAGTAAAATAYTTAACAAAATATAATTTAATGTTCAACGAATGACATTAATAATTTATTGCTTGTATGATTCCTCTTTGCTCTTAGCCTTCACACGATCACCGATCTTGCTGGCCAAYACACACTTACGACAACGATACGCCCACACATCGTCGCTGCTACCTTCTATGTTTTTATCCACGCAACCCTCAACAATAGCAAGGGCTTCAGCCTCATCCAAATCCATTTTGAATTGCTTGGCAACACGATTGACATTATAGCCCTCATCCTCCCGAAAGATGCCAAATTTCTTTACGGTACAAAGCAAGTACTTGCGTACGGGTTCTTCATCGGGATATTCGAAGTTCTTCATTTTTTGAATGTATTCATCGCTGAGTGGGAAATCCTTGATGCATTCCTGGCGGATAGCATTAAGTTCTGCAACATTTTTCGGCCTCCATTCATCTTCAGCGTATGCCTAAAAGCGAGATTATAGTAACGGTGTTATTCATTTGTGTAAWGTGCGTACCAGTGCAAAGTGTGCAAGGAACGCAAGGAAGWATTTCATTTTGGATTTCGGCTTYGTATTCGTTTGATTTCTCTYGCCRGCCTCAGAGCACAACTGAAGTATGGAACTATCGAAACGTCATATTTATACTACATTCAGTTCGATTGGTGAGCGAGCAAGTGCGGTTTTTCCGACTTTGTTTGCTGCTTGATTGCTTCACACTCACTAATGACACACAGCCGTTTGGTGAACAAATGTATTAGACTGCCCGCAACTTATTGCGTGGGTGTAAAARGTAWGGAAGCKGTAAGTTCGGGTGGAACYGAACATTTTGTACTCTCACAATTTATTAAGTTATATTAAGCTCGTAGATTTACTTATGATGATTAGGTGAGTTTACTTATGAAAAGGTGATGGAAGAAAATTGGACGTATTTTGAAGCAAATGACAAATCGTACCAAAAWAAGATATTACATGTTATAACAAGTAAGGAAGGGCTAGGTTTGGGTGCAACCAAACATTTATATTCTTGCAACTTGCACGAATCAAAGCCAGSGAAATACTTTGAGGTGGAAAACCAATCGCATAGAATAAAGTCAACCGTATGTTCGAAAATTCTGATATTAGTTTTTGCCCACTTTTATTCCTTCACACAAAGTTATGAGTAAACTGGGCTTTCTCATTTTAATTAAGCTAACTTACATATTGGCTGATATATCCAACAAGTCACCAAGAAATTCAAAAATCTTTATATTAAGTATATTGGAGCTCAGGGAAGTATTGAGCTTATTCAAGTAATTTTTAACATAACAGAAAAGTACTATCCCTGAATTTCAATAACATATCTCAGATATTGACCGATATTTTCGATCAAAGGTCAACTATAGGTACTGAAATCCAAATATCGACGCCACGTCCAACGTCCAATGTTTACCCTGGTCCCTTTAAAGCCCTATCATACCATACCGTCGACAAATTTTTGCCCCTCTGGCGCGTTTAGTTATTAGTTTATCGTGCTTTTAGTAGTTTTGAACAGTATCGTTATATGGGGAGTGAACGCGGTTTTCATCCGATTTCGTCCATATTCACACTATCGGGAGGAGTTCGTGTAATATTCGTGCTGCGCGTATTTGGTTGTTGTAGCTTTAATCGTTTTGGATATTTACATTCAACTTATTAAAGGTCGGGGCCACGCCTACTTTTCAATTTTTTTTTTCCACAGGTTTCCCTGGCTACTGCGATCCCCAGAAAACAAATATGGTTTTATATCTTAATTGGCTGCTTAGTTATGGCACTTTATACGTTTTGGCGTGGCGTTCGTCACAGGAAGTGTGCAGAATAAGCRAAGAAAACTATGAACTGTATGGTATTGGTCTACATTGCAATTCTTCGACATTTTTAAAGCAGTAGTCGGTAACTTGTTTTATTTTTATTTCTGTCCTCAATGAGACTCCCAGTAACCAAKTTCATGAGTTTCAAACAGCACACGATGATGTCATTCTCCAAAAGGCCTTTGAATCTATTTAGCAAGCAGCTCAGATTTTTGTCTTCGATTTCGGAACATTACAAGCAGCGTATCATATTTGATGCCCTTGCCAGATCGATCGATCCTTTCTGAAGAATCACGCTGAGTGAATTATATACAATTATAAATTCATATTTGCAGACGGCTACAATGWGTATTGTTGCTTTTTCTGCTGTTRCCTTATTTTWCCAGTTACTAATCTTTGTCGGAGCYTTGACGATCAGCAACAATTTTGCGGCAAATTGGATAACTGCATCATGCCGTTGAACACATCTTGTTTCATATAACTGGATAAGTTTTTCGCCCAGTATTTTTCCTAAT